ATCAATGCTGGAAGATTTTGAGCACTTCCTGATGGCCTACAAGATGCTCCAGGTTTATCTTCTATATTCTCTACTATAGTCTAGGAGGAGCCATTTCTCTAAGGAGCCCTTTTGCTTATATGGGAAATGGTATTATAGACCAAGATCTGGATGTTAGGTTTGCTTTTTGCTGATGAAGTGTGTTTGCTTCTAGGTCCTCTCACCTGACAGAGCAAGAACTATAGGCATACACTACCCTGGATATATATACATCTATGATTATTTCTTTATCTGTATATTAAGCCAAACATGAGTATTTACCAATGTCTCCAACCCTAATCTGCCAGTATCATATGAATCATTTTAGCCTTCCTGTCTTGTCTGTAACCTCCCACTCCAACAGTGAGAAACCTGGTTCCCACCATCTCCTACGATCAGTTTTTTAATATGTGTAAGTATCACTTTACTTTCTTTTTGGAAATTTCAAAGTAAATATCTAGACAAAAACCCATTTAAAATGTTAATTATGCTTTTCCAAACTCTACTTGAGTCTTTCCTCTTCAGATACCCCTACAAGGGGTCAAACTCCCAGAATCATCTTTAATATCATTAGCACATTGTTATCACTGTGAACAAATGTTTTAGGACCATGAGCTTAGCTGGCTCATGTGGACAGCCTTCAGAGAGGTCTTGTGGTGCGCACTACCACTAACACCTGACAGGTTTATATTACTCTCATACATGTACGTCTACATTCCCTTTTTAGGTTCCATACCTTTTAGAATTGAGAATAGCTCATTGGAATTATTGTAACTTAACACATTTTCTAATATTCCAAATAAATGAGAACTTTTCAACTGCCAATTCTGTGGCTGTTAGCATTAGGAAGGCGGGGGGGGAGGTTAAATGATGTGTCTGTTGTATAGTATGTGGTCAATACACATTATCTTCGTTAGAATGTCTAATATTCATTTCAAACTCACCATGTCCAAAACTGACTTCATCTTTCCCCATAAAACCTGTTCCCATTCATAGCCTTCCCTATCTCATTTGATGACAAGTCCACATTCTAGAACATAAACCTCAGTGTCATCCTTGATTCCTCTATTTCTCTCGTACTTCACGTCCAATCTGTCAGGAAATCCTGTTGATTCTACTGTCAAAATATATCCAGATGCAGACAGCTTTTTACCATCTCTGCGGCCATCCCTGTAGTCCAAGTCTCCACTGTCTCTGCCTAGGTTACTGAGCAAGCCTCTAACAGTGTCTCTGTATCTGCTTTTGGCCCAGCGTAGTTTTGGCAGCCAAAGTCATGCTGGAAAAATATGTCAGATCATTCCACTTTTCTGCTTAAAATCCTACCATGGCTTTCTATTTTCTCAGCGTAGGAGCTAAATATTTACAATACCTACAAATCTCCTATCCCAATACCTTTCTGACCTCATTTCCAATTACTCTTCCCTTCAAACCCTCTGCTTCGTACACACTACCCTTCACACATTCTAGGCCTGGTCCTACTATAAGGGCTTTTGCATTGGCTAGTCCCTCTCTCTTCTCTGATAGCTGGATAGTTAACTCCTTCAAGTATTTGCTCAAATGTCAGTTTCTCAATGGAGCTTACTGTGACTAGGCTATTTAAATTGCAACCTAATCTCTACCCCCACCACTCCTAATCCCTCTTATCCTACTCAGCTTTACCTTTTTCTACAGGATTTATCATATTGTAACATATAACTTATTTAGTTATGCTTATTGCTTATTGTGTGTCTCCCCAGCTGGAATTTGAATGGCACAAAGTTCACTGATGTATCCCAGTGCCTGGAAGACAAGCTATACATGAAATGAATGAATACATCACTTGAACTGTGTGCTTTATATATCCCCAAATGACTCTTAAATTTTATTTTTTATTTATTTTTTAATTTTACTTATTTATTTGACAGAGAGAATGAGGCAGTGAGAGAGGGAACACAAGCAGGGGGAGTGGGAGGGGGAGAAGCAGGCTCCCCGCTGAGCCAGGAGCCCGATGTGGGGCTCTATCCCAGGACCCTGGGATCATGACCTGAGCTGAAGGCAGACGCCGACTGAGCCACCCAGGCACCCCTTACTCTTAAATTTTAAAAAAGGAAAATTTAATTTTATGAAAAGGTGTCAGACTAGATACATGGGCAGAGAGTATCCACAATCTGAAGTAACTTACTAATAGCATGGAGTTTTAGATAATGTGTATAGGATAATTATGTCACAGGATTGTTGTGATATTTAAATGATATGCATGAAAGAGGTCAAAAGCCATGATTAAGGAATTTCCCATCTCATTGGCCTATATAAAATAAGGCCTCAAAGGCAGGGTACAAGTGTTATAAGCCCTTAGAAACTACTTATCCACTTCCTCTGTGATGTCATTCCTCTGAAGACCCCCTTTTCTTGTAAGTTTGAAAAGGTGAGCAGTTAAACATTGAGAATAGGGAAAAAGCTCTGTAAATGTTTATAAAGATAAGCAAAAATTATATTGCATTCATTTTTAACATGAACATTGAGATCATAGTCATTGATAATGACTTGTAAACTTAGGATGGAGAGGCTTGAAAATCATACTTATATTGGGCTGTTAAATGCCTGCTTTACTTGAGAGCTGAATTTTGGCCCTACCACCCATTTGGAAAAATGTAGTTTGTTTTCAACTGTGTCATAGTTTAGTAAATTTACGTATCTGAACATTCAGCACAGATGCAAGTTTTCCTTCTCTCCCCTTTGTTTTTGTAAAGGTACAAGTAAATTCTATAAAAAAAAAAAGTGGGTTTATGATGTATTATCTACTTAATCACTGTACTCTTACTTTTCTCTGAAATACTAGGAACTGGCTGAGAAGGCAGATATTGTTGGCATGGTATGTATCTCAATAGGCCAGGCATTGTAGGGAATGCCAGCTTTGCAAGGTGGGGCACCCAACACTCAAAAATCAGTGTCCAGAATGATGACTGAATGATGTGGCTTAGGTCTCCCCCTGGGGAATTAGCCTGTGAAGCTCAATGATGACCATTCATGTTACCTTTATGATCACTATGATTTTTTTCACTCTTTACTTGTGACTGCTGCTTCTACTCCTGATCTTAAACCTGGAATAGGGAAAGAGGAAAATTTTTATCAGGGGCGCTGAAAAGTGACAAAATAAAGTAACACAGGATGACTTCAGTTAATACAAAAAGCACAATAAATTTCACCGAAGGTAAAGTGAAAGTATTGTCTACGGAATAGCCACATTTTTCTAGGTATAAGTGTTTCACTGTTACCACACTTTTATCTTTACATGTATCACATAGCTGGGTCCTTGTGCGATGTATACTTCTCTGTAATGCTACCTGTCATTTATGTGCATCAGAAGGACTTAAGTTGCTTTGTTAGTAATTTCTTGCAAAAAATGGGCAAATTAGATAAGTTTGTATTTCCATTTTAAAAAGTTAAGAGTGATCAGAATGTTAAAGCCAAGTAAATATCCGGTAAAATTCTTATCCCTAGTAGCAGATTGCAAGATCTAATACCACACCCTTACTTTACATGACTGAGATGCCTGTTACTCATATTTAGATCATTTTCATTTTGGTTATTATGCCAGCTCTTTTCACTGTTCTGTTTCTTGATTTATGTTTTTCTCACAGTTTGTGCCACTGTTCAGTTTATCTTAGAACTAAAGAATCTGGGAAAAGATTCAAGTCTTTTGAATGTGTGTTCTTAAACCTGAAGTTTCCTAAATTTGAGTATATAGAAATAAGCTGGAATCCGGTATACTCATTAATACAAAATTATAGGCTTATGTCATATATCTATGTATACATACTGTATTTATATGTAGAGATACAAATATGTATAAATTTATATGGTTTTCTATATGAGTTTATAATTCTTTCTTCCTATCTAATTGTAATATAAAAAATAATTTTTCCTTTCTTCCCTTAAAGTAAATCATTTGTTGACACCCCCCACCCAACACACACCCCAAAGGTCAGTAACTATCATCAGTCTATCCTGTGAAGTTGATTTTTGAACATTTATGTGAAATAATGTAGCAGCCTCTTAGACTCCATTACTTGGAATAGTATTTCCAGGTCTAAGTATTTGTGAATCTAGCTATCCCCCACCCTCCATAAAGAGTTGAACTGAAATAAAAAGGGAGAACAGTTTCCTTTCCCACAAGAAAGACACTGCCAGAAATCAATATGGTCTACATTACTTATTCTTCATTATCTATTAGTGTTTTGAGAATACTAATCATATAATGTTCTAGTACAATTTTTGGGCATTATATACATTAGCTATTTTCTGTACAATAAACTATTGTTTTTATGCCTTAGAGATGGTAAACACGAGGGAAAAAAATTGCTATAATTTAAGGAATTGGTTCTGTTTCTGTGAGTAAAGTATTAACAAAACCCTTCTTCTTTAGGAAAGTTACCTGTGGGTTACCCTTCCATCACTTTCATGGAACCCTGATAAAAGTGATCCCTGATTGGTAACCTGCTTCTGGACTGGGGAGGAATATGGATGCACCATAAGTACCTAGCTGGAAGCCACAGCTGTGGGTTTCACTAAGTGTACTGTGCCCTTTGTTACTGGGTTTATCTCCCTTTGTGAAAGCTGTGTTCATGGGATGTTTCCCTTTGTGAAAGCTGTGTTCATGGGATGTTTCAAGTCCGACGCAGTGTGGTTCCCAGCGCATCTGTGTGCTCTTGCTGCCTAGCACCCGGTCTGTCCCCTGTGGGGGCTGGAGAATGGTCCTTGAATTCTTCCTCTGAAGAGATGTGCTTGAAAGCTCTCCTGCTGACTTGCTGTGTTCCTTCCCGCATCCCTCTGCAGAGCTAAATTCTGTCAGACTTTTGGTCTGTTGAATCTTGCAAACTAGTTTGACTCTCCTGCTGAAGCCAAGAGCACTGCTGCTGGTTGAGCAGAACAGGCAGTGTAGTGTCATAAATATTTCATATGAAAATATAAAAGTAACTATGAATTCTTCCTTTATTTTTCAGAAATGTGTTACCGACGAGTGTTTCTTTTTTGAACGATTGGAATCTAATAACTACAATACTTACCGGTCAAGGAAATACTCCAGTTGGTATGTGGCACTGAAACGAACTGGGCAGTATAAACTTGGACCCAAAACAGGACCTGGGCAGAAAGCTATACTTTTTCTTCCTATGTCTGCTAAGAGCTGATCTTAACGGCAGCATCTGATCTCATTTCACATGAAAGACGACGTATATTTTTGAAATTTGTTAATGAAAGAAAAGAAAAAAATGTGTACAGCTATCTGCTCAGTTGGGATGAATGGTCAGATAACCTTTTTTCTAATAGTAAATATTTAACCATTGCCTTACTAAAGAAAAGCAACAAAAATTCCTGGAAAATGTATAGACTTCCACCTTTTGTATTGCATTTGCCTTTATCCAGTGAAGCTTACATAGAGCTACAATCTTTTTCATACATTTGCTTCATTTGAAAAGAGGCTTATAAATTTGCAAGTTTTCATCAAACAAGTTTTCATGAAAATTATACACACTAGAAAATTAAAGTCAGATATTTAGTTAACACCAAATGTCCACTACTTTTTATAATACGGCACACGTTATTCTGCATGTACAATTTACTTAAAATTTTTTAAAACATGCAAATAAGGATTTAATCCACTCCTGTCTTAGTTCTGTAATTGTCTGGCAGTTCCTTGTGATAGAGTTTATAGAACAAGCCTGTGTCAACTGCCGGAAGTTCTTCCACGGTGAAATCAATCTTGTCAAACCCTTCTCTGTACCCATATAGCAGCAGCCTAGCAACTCTGCTCGTGATGGGAGTTGTATTTTCAGTCTTGACCAGGTCATTGAGATCCATCCATTCGCACCTTAAGCATTCATGCTGGCAAAAATTTATGGTAAATGAATGTGGCTTTAAGCGACAGATGATATACATATCTGATTTCCCAAAAGCTCCGGGATTGGTGTGCCGTTGCCGAATGCTCAAGAGGGACATGAATTCTGATTTTATACCAGTTTCTTCAAAAACTTCTCGAACTGCTGTGTCTCCTACATAAAAGAAAGATGGACAAATCAGTAAGGATCACATTTTTAGAATTTTAATCATCAAAGATTTTCAGATAGAGTAGCATTATCTAAAGGTTGAAAAGCAAAAAACTTCATCCTAGGAAAGTATTTTCTTACCTACCAAACTATTTTCTTACCACTGTACATCTTAGAAGCTTTTGAAATATTGAATATTTCTTTGGCTGCCATTTGTAGGCTTACCCACCTGTATATTTTGGGGGTCACATTTTTAACCTCTTCTGACTCTATCTCCCAAAAATTGAAAACATAGGTCCCTGCAGTTACTATTCCTACATATTTCTTCATTATTATTCTGTTTGTGATCATCCATCAAAACTGCCTAAACTTCTATGTATCGGTATTGAGAAAAAGTGATTCATTCTTACAAAAGTCTGTAGAGCTGCAGAACGTATTGAGCTGTGAATGGTTCAAAGCTTTCCCGGTGATCTTGGGTGGGGCTGTCAAGCCTCTGACATCCTAGAGCAGTTTCATTTATAACCATTTTGTTATGCTCCCTTAGTTATCCTGTCAGTGGAATCCCATTATGGTAGTTTTGGGCATTTCTTTTGTTTCTTGAGATTCTAAAGAACTATTTTATCAAAAGTATTAAAAAAAAAAACTTGCAGTTTACAGAATTTTATAATACAAGGGTTTCACATTTTATAAGGTTGATTTTTTTCAATATTTGCAAATTTCTGGAGCAAGATTTTGACTGCCATTAACATTTTTGTGGTTGCTTTTTCTAAATCTCCAGAAGAACCTGCTAAATGGACTTTCTCTAATTTTGTGATGCTCTGTCACTGTCTCCCAAAGTGTTCATGAGAAAAACCCTTTAAAAAGCTGCCTTCTTTGCTCAGTTTGCTGGAAGCTTCCCAATTTCACAATTGCCACAGGCATTGATTTTTGTTCAAAGACCTCTATTCAATGCTTCTATTTCCTTGTTTGTCAAATAGAAAATTATATTTGCCTTCTCACTAGTCCTACTGGTGAAGAATAGGCAAGGAGGGGAAGTCAAGGAAAAAAAATCTCAATTTCCACATATTCTGACTGTAGACGGTCTTAATTGCCTACGTATGCTTGTGGGTTCTCCCCCCCCCCACCCCAAGAAACAGCTCTGGAAATATGCACAGGAAAAGCAAAATGTTCTAAACTATAAGACATTTGTCTGCCATTTTGAATTACATGCTGACTTCCCCTTCCCTTGAGATTTGCCATAGATTAAACATGGTTAGAACTTACTGTTTTAAACTAAAAACATAAAAGAATTTTTGAGTAAAAGGAAAATCTTCCTTAATAAAAAAAACCAAACTTTCAGCTTGGAATACGTTAATTTGTTACAGATTTGGCATTAGTCTTAAATTTTAGACATCATTTGCTGATTTCACTTAACTATTGTTTAAATGTTTATTTTTATTCTTTCAACGCTTTGAAAAATAACCATGGGGTTCTGTTAAACTCTTAGTGCCACTAATCCAGAGTTTGGCATTTCATTCGGAGTCTAGCCTTTTTATGTATCATGGAGGCACAGGACAGACTAGTGAGTTGATCTACCCTACTCAGCAGTCCACCTGAGCAGTTGATTGGAAATCAGCACTGCCTGGTAGTTTGATCAGTTTAACTTGAATCAGCATATCATTGACTAGACTAAAAATCGAATGGGTAAATAAGTGGTTTTGCATCCAGGGTATGAATGATTGCTTCCACCTCAAGATGGAAATCTTTACCCCAAGGCTTTTTCGCCAAGAATTAAAAAAAAAAAATTTTTATGCAGATAAACTGCTTTATTCTGTTGTACCTTTATTTTAATGTACTGTAAGCTGAACTGAAATACCATTTACTGTTTTATATGCTTAAAGAACATAGGGAAAAACCAAGAGGGTTTTGTTTTTATTTTTGCTGACTGAGAGGTATGTTTAAATATGTCAGTGTTTTGTTTAGTTACAGGACAGTGAAATGGAGTTTATTTCTATTTTGTAATATTTAACAATAGGATTAGGTTGAAATAAAATAGGAAAGATTGTGCAGAAGGTGGGTTTTCCTGGCGTTTCCCTCTGATTCTGGTGCACTGATGAGCTCTGAGCAGACCCCACTGCTTTATGGTCCTTTGTCCATGCAGGAGATTCTCTTCCTGTCAATGGTAATGAAATTTTTTTAGGAAGGCAATTTCTCCGTTTTTAACCTTGTAGATACTTTCGTACTATTAGGGTATTATATTAAAGCCTGAAGATTGCATTCTACTTTGTATATGCCCCCCCTTAATTTTTTTAAGCACTATGGACAATAGTGCTTCATTTACCTAGTATTATCAAAGAATGAAGGATTCCAAACAAATGTGTTTTTCAGTTAACTAGTGTTTACTACTTAAGAGCTGATATGAATGTGTGCACATTTGTGATGGCTGTATTCCTGAAGTATATTACATACTTTCCTAAATACAGAGCTTAAAGAAAATAATTTTGATAATTATTGGGTAACAGACTTCATCGTTAAGAATAATCTATTGTGTTGTAAGACAGAAATGCTCTAATATAGACAGACATAGTCTTTCAGAACTCTCTTGTCAGTTATCACTTCTAGCTGCTTTCAGGCTTCTATCAGTTCTAAGGCAAAGCTTTAATGAATAATACTCCTAAGCAGTACGATGAATAACAGTTGCTGCTTTCCTTGTAACTCCTCATGGCTGAACGGGGGGAGGCGGTTGTGCCAACCACAAACACTGAATTCAGAATTCACTCTTGTTTTTTTTTTTTTTTTTTAATCTGGACTTGAAGAGTTCTGGAGTACACTTAAACCTGAAACTATGAACACTTGGCTTGGAAATGTGCTTCTTCATTTGCATTAAAATATAAGTACATTGAAAATTCACAAGATCTGTTAAAAACTCAAAAGGAAAAAGTCAATTCATTTGAGAAGGCAAGATGCAGAAGAGGAAGCTAAACATACCTCCTGTAGCTTGATTTTTGCCCCATATGGATTGGGTAAGGGTGTAAGACATAAATTTAACTAGCTCTCACACACTCTCATATATCACATAAGGATAGTGTGAGATTAATTAGGTGTTCCAAAATAAATGGCCCTCTCTTTCAGCACTTGTACCACCACAAAATCTTTGATTTCAACAGACGACCCAAGCAATGGACTCTAGGCAGAAAATCCGTAAGTACCTAAAAGCCAAAATTTGCTACGGATATATCTCAGTGTAGAAAATTTACTTATGGCTTGTTAGGAGTTGACTATGTACTGTGTATAGGGCATTTTAATCTGTGTAACATTTAAAAAATCAAGTTTCAAGTATATATACATTTTTAAATATTTAAAGATAACTTAGGAAGTTGCCTTTATATATAAATGTTGGCTAAACAGGGGACATGCATATGGAGGAGAAAAATCATGGAGAAATAATACTGATAGCAAATGAGGCATCTATTGATTTATTATGATGCAGACTGCATTTGACCCAGCCAAGGGTCAGGAATAGGTAGGAAAACTACGTTTTTATTCTTTCTTCTATTTACTGTAAATTCAGTAACATGGAGAGTTCTTAGCTTATTTCACATTTCCCCGTTTGAAATATTGAGCTCAGGAAGTTGCTTTAGGGAACTCTCACTTGAGACTTTCTTGTATGAGACATTTTACTATGTCTCATACTATTCAGCTTCCTGACTATTTAAATAGTAGATAAAATTTTATAGAGGAGCATTAAGTCACTACTGCTCTGTAACTGACTTTATGAATACTTATTTTGAGGTTCATTTAAAAGTTATTATTCATCCTTGTGTGGTGAAATGGTCAAGAATTTGTGTTTTCTTATAGTTTAATTCCAGAAACAGTATTAGTCATACCCAAAATAGCCCTTAATGCTAAACTTTACTAATGTATATGCAAAGCTTTTTATTTTCAAACAAATTCATCTAGAAGCAACCCTAAACAGAATAGGTGGCACGCTCCTAGTGGTATTTTTATATTAGTGGGATAAATTGTAGTATTACAAGTTTTACTGCTAATTTTATATTAGCCCTGAAGTAACTTCTCTGAAATTTCTCACTTGGTAATTTAAAATCTTATTTTCAGCTATAGAACAAAAAAAGTAAACACAAATTTCCTGAACATTTTCAAGCCAATTAAAAATATGGAAGGTGTCCACACCGATATCTTCTCCAGGCTCTGACAGGCCCCCTGGAAACTTCCACATATTCTTCAACTGCAAGATAAAGTCAGAAAATAAAGTTAACAGAGCTTCATTCACTAACACATACACAGAGACTCCACAAAATCCCCCATAATTGGTCAAGGGGTTGAGAATTTATCTTTTGGTAATGGCATGCAAATTTCCTTCCCCTTTCTTCTTCTTGGCGGAAACTGGTTACTTATGAAATCTTTTCCTACCTTTTTCTTCAGGAAAAAGAAATGGTTTTGTTTGGTTAATGTGATAAATTCTGTATGAATGAAGCAGTGGAGGGAAACATCTACTGAATTTGTGTAATTTTAAAAATTTTGCTGCTAGTTAACTATTAACAAATAGAGGAATCTTACAGATGCTGCTATAAATAAGTAGAAAGTACAGTATAAATTTAATAACTAAAGTATGCTATTTTTAATTTTCACATTTATTTTCTGTATTGTGTCTAATCAGATTTCTCTTGTTCTGTGTGTTAATGATTTTATGTACAAATGCAATTGCTTTTCATGGGTAGTATGAATAAATTTGATTAGTTTAAGTTTGCATTGTTTTGTGTGTGTGTGTGTGTGTGTGTGTGTATCATTTCATTTTTTGGTCCGGGGGGGCAGGTGGGAAGATATGATCGTAGAATGAGAGCACATATGGAAAAAAATTATAAATATGAAATGGCATGGGACAATATTCTGATGGCTGACATGATTATTTTTTCCTGTTACAATTCTGTTATATATATCTATTAACATGATAAAAACTGTAGAATGAAAAATTATGATGTACTCATGCTACAGCTTGAAGCCAGTACACTTTATACTTCATTCATAAAACAAGTTTATGGACCTTTTACTGGTGTGCTTTTTGACCCACTCATTTCCTGGATGAGTGCTTCATAAAGAATGTCATTTCCCAACTGTGCTAAGTTGGAGACCAAAGCATGATTCCCAGTTTCCACAGACTGTTGATTATGTGGGTATAGAATTCAGGCTTTCCACCCTTCCCTGTCTGGCTCAGACTTGAGACTAATTTATAAAGCATATTTTATTAATGCAGAAATTTATCTTTAAGTATATCTCTACATTAATATACTGTCTTTGAGATTCTGTTTTGAAATGGTTCCAGAAGTTGTTTCTATAGTCTTTTTCCTGATACAATATTAGATTTACCACCATAAATTCTACTTCTAACAAAAATGTTATAATGGGCAGGAAATGCTTCCCCAAAACAACTTTCAAAATCTTTACCTAGACTTGGCTATAAATAGAGATTGCTGATTAAACTATGAACTTATTAGAAGGGGGAAAATACTAGATGTAAGGATTGAAAACAGCTTACAAAAATTTGATTTTGATTATTTCATAAAACATAGGTATGGAAAGATTAACTATATATTTTTATGGTACTTTGTGGTATTTTCTGGCACCATTTAGGTTTAAAGAGCTTATTTGAAAAAAGCTTTCTCCTCCCTTCCAGAAAGCTTGAGCCTGCAGTTAGTTCAAAGTGGTCGGTAGCAAGGCTTAAGTTAAGTGGTTTGAAAAACCTGGTTAATGTTGCAGATAGATATGATCAGTGGAGGGTTGAGTATATCTTCTCACCTTTTTTAGTATTTATTAAAATATACTCCCACTTAGGTCTTTTTTTTTTGTTAAAGATTTATTTATTTGAGAGGGCAAGAGTCTGTGCGTGTGGGGCAGGGGTGAGGGGTGGCAGGAGAGGGGAAGGGACAGGGAAAGCAGCAGACACCCCTGAGCATAGAGCCTGACCCAGGGCCTAATCTCACAACCCTGAGACAATAACCTGAGCCGAACTCAAGAGTTGGACGCTTAACTGACTGAGCCACCCAGGCACCCCTTCCCATTTAGGTCTTTAATCCATTTTGAGTTTTTGTATATGGTGTTAAAAAGTGGTCCAATTTTATTCTTTTACATGTAGTTCTCCAGTTTTCCCAGCACCATTTATTGAGGAGACTGTCTTTACCCATTGTATATTCTTGCCTCCTTTGTCATAAATTAAACGATCATATAATTTTGGGTTAATTAAAAAAAACACTCCCATTAACTGGGCTTCGCAATGTAAATAATAATAACAGCAACTTTAGGGAAGATGGTGGAATAGGAGGACCCTAAGCTCACCTCATTCCATCATCCACCTAGATAACACAAGGAGAAGTACCCAGCAGTTCATTGCTACCACACCTCTGGCAAATGCCTGATTCTGACTCAACTCAAGCCCAAGGTGGCCCCAGACTGGCACAACAACAACATAGGGACCAAACCCTGTCCACAATGGGAGGAGAGAGCCATGACTGGACTAATGCAAAGGCAGCTCAGTTACAACAGCAGGGCATATGCAATACATGTAAGAGACACCCTGAAGTTCTGGTGAACAGGGCACTCCAAGACCTCTTCTTTATAAGGCCACTACTTTCAAGAGCAGGAGATGTAGCTGACTTTCCAAACACTCAGACACAGGGAGTCAGACAAAATGAGGAGACAGAGGAATATGTTCCAAATGAAAGGACAGTTCAAAATCACAGCAAGAAATTAAATTAAACAGAGGTAAGAAATATGCATGATAGAGAATTTAAAGTAACGGTCATAAAGATACTCACTGGACTTGAGAAAAGAATGGAGGACCTCAATGGGACACTCAAGAGATAGAAAACGTATGAAAGAACCAATCAGAGATGAACACAATAACTGAAATTAAAAATACACTAGAAGGAATAACTGGTAGACTAGAGGAAGCAGAAGAATGGATAAGCAACCTGGAGGACAGTAATGGAAAACAGTCAAGCTGAATAGGAGAGAGAAAAAGTAGTAACAGTAAATGAAAACAGGGAACTTAGTGATACCATCAAGCATATAAGCATTCACATAGAAGTCCCAGAAGAAGAGAGAACCGGGGGCAGAGAATTTATTTGAAGAAATAATAGCTGAAAACTTCCTGAATCTGGGGAACAAAAATCCAGATCCAGGAGGCACAGAGAACTTCTAACAAAAGCAATCTAAGGAGGTCCACACCAAGATACACAGTAATTAAAATGGCAAAAGTAGTGATAGAGAATTTTACAAGAAGCAAGAGAAAACAATAACATACAAGGGAAACCTCACAAGGCTATCATCTGTTGGAGAAATCTTGACATTGAACGCCCAGCCTACACTAACCTAAACAGGTTGATAAGTCAAATTGTTTCCTCCATCACTGCTTCCCTCAGATTTGATGGAGCCCTGAATGTAGATCTGACAGAATTCCAGACCAACCTGATGCCCTATCTCTGTATCCACTTCTTGGCCAGATATGCCCGTGTCATCTCTGTTGAGAAAACCTACCATGAACAGCTTTCTGTTGCACAGATTACCAATGCGTGCTTTGAGCCAGTCAACCAGATGGTGAAATATGACCCTCGCCATGGTAAATACATGTCTTGCTGCCTTTTGTACCATGGCAACATGGTTCCCAAAGATGTCAATGCTGCCACTGCCACCATCAAGACCAAGCATACCATCCAGTGTGTGGACTGGTGCCCTACTGGCTTCAAAGTTGGCATTAATCATCAGCCTCCCACTGTGGTACCTGGTGGAGACCTGGTTAAAGTACAGTGAGCTGTGTGCATGCTGAGCAACATCACAGCTGTTGCCAAGGCCTGGGATCACCTGGACCACAGGTATAACCTGATGTATGCCAAGAGTGCCTTTGTTCACTGGTGTGGGTGAGGGATGGAGGAAGGAGAGTTTTCTGAGGCCTGCAAGGACATGACTGCCCTTGAGAAGGATTATGAGGAAGTTGGTGTGGATTCTGTTGGAAGGAGAGGGTGAAGAAGGAGAGGAATATTAAAGTTAATGACACAGAGGTGCTGCTTTTACAGGGAAGCTTATTCTGTTTTGAGCATTGGAAAGTTGTGCTCTGATCAGTTAATCTGTATGTAGCAGTGTATATTCTCATATACAATTACTGACCTGTGCTTTAAAACACCATGCCTTGTTATAGACCCAAGTTGTCCATTTCTCTGATGGATTTGAATAAAGTATTACCTCTCTTAAAAAAAAAAAAAAAGAAAAAGAGTACAGACCTGCTAGCCTCTTCCTTTTGGTTGTCTTGTATGATCTGACTTTCTTAGTCTTCCCTTACTCTAATTTGGTTGAATGCCAGAAATTTGATTTTTATTTTCACTCTTCTAATCTTTAATGCTACTACTCTCACTTTTCAGAATTCACAGCCATTGTGTTTAGATAATTCTCACTAGCTACAGTATTATCACTGTTACCAATGAGACAGAAGATACTATAGAGATGTCTTAATACATTTGTTCATTCAACAAAAATTTATTGAGGGCTAGGCTATGGGACATATAAAAATTAATGCACAATATAACAAGACCAGTCACTCCTTCTCCATGTACCACTGTATTTTTTTTTTAAGAATTTATTTATTTATTTGAGAGAATGAGAGAGAGAGAGAGAAAGCACAAGAGGGGGTAGGGTCTCCAGGATCATGACCTGAGCCGAAGGCAGTCGCTTAACCAACTGAGCCACCCAGGTGCCCCATGTATTTTTCTTAATAACACCTACCACCAATTTATATATCATTTATTCACTTATTATTTGTATCTTACTTATTTGAATGTAAGCTCCAGATGTAGAAATTTTGCTTTGTTCACTGTTTGCTTAGTGCTTAGAACAAAACCTGCAACATTGTGTATGTAGAACTCAGTGATCTTTAGTGAATGAATGAATAGGTTCCTACTGTTAACTCAGTTCTTTAGCCACTGTTAAGCTTTTTATTTCTCAAAATCATATGGCAGGGACAAAGGAATGGAATATATGGGTAGGAAAGGAGAAAGGATGAGTTTTAAGTATCATTTTTGGATTTGTATTTCAGAGTATGCATATGCTTGTGGTGAGGGTTAAACTTTCCTCTACAAGAAACACTTTATACTATTCCTAGGGAAAATGAGGTACTTAATGGAAAGGAGAAAAACTGGCTCAGATGTCTGAAAATAATGCTAATTATTATTTATGGTTAGCTATCACTTATGCTTAAATTCCACCTAATACCACAATTACAGAAATTAGATATGATTCAGTGTCTCACTTTATACTTTTTTTTTTTTTTTTACAATTTCTTTTTCTTTTAAGGATTTTATTTAGTTATTTGAGACCGAGAGGTACAGAGGGAGAGAGCATGAGCAGGGGGAGAAGGCAGAGAGAAAGGGAGAAGCAGACTCCCTGCCGAGCCAGGAGCCCGACATGGGGCTTGATCCCAGGATGCTGGGATCACGACCCAAGCCGAAGGCAGACGCTTAACCATGTGAGCCACCCAGGCACCTCTCACTTTATACTTTTTATTACAACACTGAACTGTACACAAATACTCAGTTTTTATATTTTATTGCTCAAAAGATACTCTGTTTATAACTTAAAAAGAAGTCAAAACCCTAAGTAGGAGTGTCATTCCTACTTAATTCATAAAGAAACCAAAGTCTTATATAATTTGAATTCGTCCTGGAAGCAGAGGGTGATCACAGCTAGATTCTGAAAAGTA